CGGCGATGAGCGGCGATGGGGCGGACGGGGCGGCGGCTCCGGCGCTCCTCGTCGACGGGGAAGGAGGCCGCGGGGTCCGACGCGGCGTGGGCGATCCGGTGGCGGGGTCGGCGGCGGTCGGGGTGGTCGGGACAAGGCGAGGCGAGGCAAGGCGGCTCCAAGCTCCGGCGAGGGCGCGATGCGTTGGGGCAGCGACTCCGGCGATCCTAGGGGAACAAGAATATGTCAACCAGGTGCTCCTGGACCCGGGCAATAGCTTGGTGAAGAAAAACATGGTCGAGGCGGCCATACGGACAGCGTAATACCCCGGCAAGGTAGCTCCGGCCGGCGAGATGCAAAGCGTTGTGGCGACGGCTATGGACGGTGTGGGTCGATGTGGAGTGGCAGGATGAGACAAGGAGGTCTGCGGGCATTTATAGGCGCGGAGAGGAGGCGCGGGGCTGTGGGATAAGCCTTATCCCGAGAGTTTCGGCCGGCGGGTTCGCGCGGAGCGCGTGTGCATGCTCATCCAGCGAGAGGAGCGGGAGGTTTGGGGTGACCTGGGGAGCAGGCCCCATCTGGCAGCGACGGTGGGAGAGAGCGAGGGAGGGAAGAGGGGCGCGGGCGAGCGATGCGAGTAGCGCTCGGGCGCTGGGCTAGCCTGGCCAAAACTGACCATGGGCCGGTTGGGTGCGCTCCTGAGCCGAACTGGCCTCGGTCCAGGTGGTGTGCGTGTTTTTTTTTGTTTTTTTTTTGCAGAAACAAAAACTTCAACATAGGAAAAATAACTAAAAAAATTACGTAGGAATATTATGTACCAAAATGTTCACAAAGAAACCCCGAATAAGATGAACTATTTTTCAAGTTCAACTAAATTCCATAAAAATTCATAAAAGTCAAACTGTGCTACTGTTGCATTTAAAATCAATAAAAATCATTTTTAAAATAGAAAAATGATTTCAAATTTATTTTCTCCTAATTTTCTATTGTAGGGAATCATTTTACCCTTATTTCCATTTATTTATTTTTAGGATAAAAATAATTTGAATATGAACCCAAATAACTCCTGATTGGATTTGAATTTGGAATTTCAAACAACTTCAAATGGAAAATGAGTTTCAAATAACTTGAATTCAGGAAGATCAAAATGCAAGATGAAAAGTTTTGGGACAGTCCTTTTATTCCCTCTCATGCAACTTTCAAAAGTTTCAATTTCCACTCAATCAATCACACAACAAACAAACAAACAATCATAATTATTTATTTAATATAACATTCCAAAATTTAGAATTTTGAGATGTTACAAATATTCAAAGTAGCTCAATGTGCTAAGTTCATCAAATTCAAATAGTAACTAGGCTATGGGATCGAACATTTGTAAGCTGCAAACTAGAGGAAATAGAACAAACTTTGTTTCACTACACACCAAAGAGTGGAGCTTCGACAAACACTGTCCCTCCCACATTTACTACCAAGCAATTGACAGAAAATTGTTGCACCATGACCAGTGGCAGAGCTTGACAGAAATTGTTGAGGGGGAAAGTAGAGTTGAGGGTCCAAAGGAAAAATTCTGCTTAAATTTTCATAATCTTCAAAATTTTAGCTTAGCAACTAATGATATTTCACATAATTTCTCTAGGGTAGGGGTGGCATAGCCCCCCTTGCCCCTAGTGAAGCTCCGCCCGTTTTGTGTTTCAAAATTTGATATATCCATTTTAGTTCCAAGTAGGGATGGACATCACTTGGTAGATTGGGACAATTGGCAGCACCTTATTCGCTTGCATCTCCACCATCGTGTTGTGCGGTTTTCTGGTGCGCGACACAAAGAAGATGGTGAAGATGTATAGCCACGATGAGTACGCGCGTGCAAAAGGCTAAATTTCCCTTCATCTAGGCCCATTATCTTTAGTTTACTGCCCCTCCTTCCAGGCCTCAACATAGCTCCACCTTTGCGTGTGTGTTGTGATACCGATGTACATGGCCCGCATGAATGTGATTGGCGTCTTGGCGGTTTTCTACAAGAAGGTGATACGTCAGTCGATCGAGGAGAGCTACCTTATTGATATGCCGACATTCAAATTATCTTTACGATTATAAATCTTGCTTGGATATTAGGCAAAGCAGAGTTGAGAGGGGCCAAACGAACAAATTCTACTTAAACATTGACAATCTTTAGAATTATAGCTTAACGACTAATGATATTTCACATAATTTCTCTATGATGGGGGGGGCATAGCCCCCCTTGGCCGTAGTGAATTAATTCTAACTAGGGATGAACATCACTTGGTAGACTGGAACAATTGGCAGCACCTTATTCGCTTGCATCTCCACCGTCGTGTTGTGCGTTTTTCTGGTGGATGAGATAAAGAAGACGATGAAGAAAGTACAGCCGCGACGAGTACGTGTGTGCGCGATACCAATGTACATGGACACTCTGAATGTCATTGGCATCTTGGCGAGGGTCTTTCACAAGAAGGTGATACGTGAGTCGACTGTGGAGAACTACCTCGTGGATCTGCCGACATTCAACTTATCTTTACCATTATAATTCTTGTTTGGATATTAGGCCATTCAATGTATATAGTAGTTAATATAATTTCTCATACATTGAATGACTAATCACTGGTTAGTCTGTTTCATTACATATTTTGTTTGGATACAAACAATTAATATTGTTTTTCATACATTAGGCAATCTCTATGCTCAAACCATGGCTCTTCATCCTACATCTTCCGGTCAGAATCAATGTTATTGAAAGACTTCCCTCAATGAAACTTACTGAGTGAATCATGTACGACATCCTAGTGGAAATTATATAAGAAGGCCAGGCATATTCCTTTCGACCTAAAAATATAAGAACCGAGTCGTACCTCTCTCAAAATAACATTGTGGCTAAGAACACTCAGAGGAGCAGAGAAAAACTTACTACTACCGTGAACCATACAAGTTGCCTGCTAGCGGGGATCCCCCAAATTGCAGAGCTGGGTCTCATCTCATGTGCATTTCAGATGTTCTCTCCCAATGCTTCTATTAGCTTCGCAGCTCAACCAAGGAGGTGGATTATGCATCCATAGTGGATCACACTATGAGCACCCCTGCAGACGCTGAGAAAGCAACCCTTTGTTAATCAAGCTGGCAGTGAAACACCGATGAATGTCACTGGAACATTTGGAAGCAATTTTTTAGTACCGATTTTATTTTAGCCCAAATTTTTGAAATCGATCTATTACCAATACAGAAGGGGAGTATAATTCGAAAATGCCAAATGGAGACCGAGCTCCGTAAAGGTTTTAATTTGAAAACTTCAAAATTTGAATTTTTCAGTTTCAAAAATTCTAAAAACAAATTCATACATACCTACTCCCTCCGTCCCATAATGTAAGACGCTTTTTGACACTATATATTATGGAACGGAGGGAATAGATGGGAGCAACTACAATAGTAAACATGTTTGTGAAAGAAAAATATAAAAAATGGATCTGACCACTAGTTGGAAGACTGATGGCCCAGATTTAGGTGGAGCGATTTGTCCGCATAATTTGCAAAAAGGTCCTTCAATACAGGATAATTTGGTCTCAATGACCTCGTCGTTCAATCACAAATCGCGTACAGAGCGGCAGCCCCAACGCTGGCGACGGCGGCCCAGATCCCTCCTCAAGCTAGGTGAATTAAGAAAATCTCCAACAGCTCCTGGCCTCATGTCGCCCGCGGCGCAGTTTGAGGCCGACCAAATCAGATTTCCTCGGCTACTAAGCTCCGCCCCGCAATGTGCTCGTGCAGGCTCGCAACCTAGCTACATAACATGTTTGTAAATTTTGAAATCTGTTAAAATGAGAGCTACCAAAAAGGAAAAATTTGGATCACACTTTGAGCAACCCTGCAGGCGCTGAGAAAGCAACCCTTTAGAGGGTGTTTGTTTCCAGGGACTTATTGATTTAGAGACTTAAAAAGTCCCTATAAGTCTCATCTAAACCAAACAGGAGGGATTTATAGGGACTTAAAGTGGTCATTTGGGACTTATGAAATAAGACTCTTAAGGAGAGACTTATAGCGACTTATAGTTGTAATATGGTCTTATAGAGGCTTATAAGTCCCGGAACCAAATAGGAAGGGACTTTTTAAGGACTTGAGACTTATAAGTTGGGACTAAACAGTCCTAGGACTTATGAACCAAACAGGGCCTTAGTTGATCAAGCCGCGAGTATAGCTGCCCAAACGGGCCGTGCTAACTGGGCCGGCCCGGTAGCACGCAGGCCCGGCATGACCCGGGCACGACACGGCCCGGCCTAAACGGGCCAGGCCCGGCACGCGGCACGCCATGGGCCATGCCTGGGTCTGGAGGCTAGGCACGCGGGTCGGCACGGCACGGTCCGTTTATGTTTTTTTGAAAAGTATAAATATATACGTCCTATATAAATACCGAATACCCTAATATGTTTAATATTTTCATAGTGCATGCGTATTTTATTAGTGCTTGAATCTAAAGTAGTAGTGTTATAGTGTAGTCTTTGTATTTTTATCCTTTTATAATTATAGAGTATGTTTTGTATTCTTTTATTCTTTCAGATGGGAGTTTTAATGATGTACATGTGCTAATAAAATTTTAGATTTATCTCACATAATAGTCTACCAGATTTTGCAATTTTCTACATTTTTTTGGCCTTTTTTTGCTGTTTTTAGAGGTATTAGGAAGAAAAAAAATCATGCCAGACGGGCCAGCGTCCTCCAACGGGCCGGCGTGCCTGGGGTGCCGCGTGCCAGCCCACGTAGCCACGTGCCGTGCCTGGGCTGCTAGCTCTCGCCCGTGGGCCTGCACGGCATGGCCTGGTTATTATTCGTACCAAGACGGGTCGTGCCGTGCCATGCACGTTTACGGCGGGCCGGGCCGTGCCGTGCCGGGCCGGCCCGTTTGGCCAGGTATGGCCGCGAGGCACCCCGGCTTGTCGGTGTTTGACTGGAGGCAACCCAAAGAATTCTAGGCAGCTCAAGCCTCAAGGGATACACGCAATGTCACCAGCTGGATGGATAAGCCTGAACCGCTCGCCGCTGTTGCTGCCATTGTTGACCAGTGCGTAGAGCGGGAAGAGATGGCTGCGTCGGAGCTACACTTCCTGCTGGTGCCGCTGGTGGCGCAGGGCCACATCATCCCCATGGTGGACCTGGCGCGCCTCCTCGCCGCGCGGGGGCCGCGCGTCACCGTCGTCACCACGCCTGTCAACGCTGCGCGGAACAGGGCCACCGTCGACAGCGCCAGGAGGGCGGGCCTCGCCATCGAGCTCGCGGAGCTCCCCTTCCCCGGCCCGCAGCTGGGGTTGCCGGAGGGGCTGGAGAACCTCGACCAGCTGCTCGACGACGTCAGCAGTACCACGTACCTCGCCTTCTTCCAGGCCATCTGGAAGATGGCGGAGCCGCTGCAGGGGTACGTCCGTGCGCTGCCGCGGCGGCCGGACTGCCTCGTCGCCGACTCGTGCAACCCGTGGACGGCGGGCGTTTGCACGGCGCTCGACATCCCGAGGCTGGTGCTGCACTGCCCGTCCGCCTATTTCCTCCTCGCCGTGCACAACCTGTCCACGCACGGCGTGTACGACCGCGTCGGCGACGACGAGTTGGAGCCGTTCGAGGTGCCGGACTTCCCGGTGCGCGCCGTCGGGAACACGGCCACGTTCCGCGGCTTCTTCCAGCACCCCGGCGCGGAGAAGGAGCAGCGCGACGTTCTCGATGCCGAGGTCACCGCTGATGGCCTGCTGATCAACACGTTCCGCGGCGTCGAGGGCATCTTCGTCGACGCGTACGCGGTGGCGCTCGGCAAGAGGACGTGGGCCATCGGGCCGACGTGCACCTCCGGCATCTTGGACAAGGACGCCGACGCCATGGCCGGCCGCGGCAACCGCGCTGACGTCGATGTCGGCCACGTCGTCTCATGGCTCGACGCCATGCCACCGGCGTCTGTGCTGTACGTCAGTTTCGGCAGCATCGCGCAGCTGCCAGCGAAGCAGCTCGCCGAGCTCGCGCGCGGCCTCGAGGCGTCGGGGCGGCCGTTCGTCTGGGCCATCAAAAGGGCCAAGGCCGACGCCGCCGTGAAGGCGCTGCTCGACGATGAAGGGTTCGAGTCGCGCGTGGAGGACAGGGGCCTCGTCGTGCGCGGGTGGGCACCGCAGGTGACCATCCTCTCGCACCGGGCGGTGGGCGGCTTCCTCACGCACTGCGGCTGGAACGCCACGCTGGAGGCCATCTCCCACGGCGTGCCGACGCTGACATGGCCCTGCTTCGCCGACCAGTTCTGCAGCGAGCGGCTGCTCGTGGACGTGCTCCGCGTAGGCGTCAGGTCCGGCGTCAAGGTGCCCGCCAAGAACGTCCCCGAGGAGGCCGAGGGCGTCCAGGTGCCGAGCGGCGACATGGAGAAGGCCATTGCCGAGCTGATGGACGGCGGGTCCGAGGGGATGGTGAGGAGGTCCAGAGCCAAGGAAGTCGCCGCGGAGATGAGAGTGGCCATGGAGGAAGGCGGGTCGTCCTACTCCGACCTGACGGACATGATCCACTACGTCTCGGAGCTGTCGAGGAAAAGCAGCCACGAGAGGGACGGAAGCTCGATGACCCTGCCTTTCGCGGTGGCAGAGCTCCGAAGCAACGACAGCGACAAGATCGAAGCCGGTGCTGCATTGTCACTACAGTCCTAAGTTGTAGTACTATAACTCATTATCGGATTGCAAAGTTGTTTTTTTAGTATTGCAAAGATACGAGTATAAGCTACTTCCTTCGCCTGATAATATAAGAGCGCTTTTGACCCTACGGTACGGGAGAGTAGTTTTTTAGGACGAGAAAATCAAGGAAATAGTTGTTATAAAACTCATTATTGTACACGTGGGCTTGCAAAATTTGGGCAACAAATGTATAAAATGTACCATTGAGCTAATAGCCGGTCGCTTGGTACGCCAAAAGCGAGAAAAACTCCATCCCTACTCTTTTGGCATCCCCATGCCAGAGCCGGAGCCGGATCCTCTAACTTACAGAAGCAAAGTCACGGTGCTACAATGCTATCCTAATATAAAATAAAGAAGTAACTGTAGAGACGTTTAGTACATAGTGAACCAACCCATGGTTGGATGATTAGAGGGACTATGGTATCCCTAGCCCATATTATTTACTATTGGTACTTGATGTAGATAAAAATAATCTATAATTGATTTTATTTCAGCATCAATTTGTTTGCAAGTAATGATTATAAATGTACATATTAAATCTGTAATTCACAAATTAATCTAAGTCATTTTAGTCTTAATCATATGGATTGAAAGAAGGCAAGTTAGGATGTTGTAACTTCTCTAACATTCATTTTTAATGTTAGAGGATCTAGTTCCCCTCGTGCCGCGGAGAGAAAAGCAGCACTCCCTTGGGTGTGTGGTTTTGTACGTTCGTCTTTATTTTTGCCAAACTATTAGTGAGAAGATTATCATAAAAGAGGAAGGACGCCAACCGCTTCAACACTAATAATGGAAGAAGTCACTCCAGAAATGGACTTCTTTTTCTCAGATTGATTGATGCCAACATTTTACCTACAGAAGCTTGACCATATGTAGTGTCTTCAAACATACAGAAATAATGCAGGTAAGACAAGCAAATCATTGGCAGAATTCAGTTGGCTATGGATTGACAAGCAAGTAGAACCATATGTTGCAAGATCCGCATCTCGAGCAACCAAAAGTCAGGATACCGATTGTGGCATGCAACATCACAGGCAGGCATAATTCAACTGGCTATAGATCTCAAGCCTGGAAGGCGGTTGCAGGGGTTGATCTGAGCCACCCATTGCTCAATCCGACCACCCGGACACCGCCTTTCCCACTCTTTCCCATGGTTCAGAACCGAAGAAGCTTCATCCACGAGTTCATGACTGATGTGTCAGCATGTGCGGCTATCATCGGGTGCTATATGTACACTACAGTTACCATTGCGTTGCTTCCAACAGATTGTGGTGTCTTCAAGGTGCCACTTCCGCTGCCACGGCCAATTCTGGCCATGACCTTCCCCCGTAGCGGCGATGGATGGAGCAGCTCAACAATGGCGCACTTCTTGCCGGTGTCGTTGTTGGCGCAGGGCCACACCATCCCCATGACTGACATGGTGCCCCTGCTGCCAGAGCATGGGGCGCAGGTCAGCTCCATCACCACGCCGGTGAACGTCTCCAGCTTGGCAGGATTTGCAGCCGACGTGAAGGCAGTGGGCCTGGCGATTCAGCTCGTGGAGCTCCGGTTCCCGACCGCTGAGTTCGGCCTATCGGACGGGTGCGAGAACCTCGACATGATCCATGCCACGGACCTGCTTTCGAAATTCATGAAGGCCATTGACGCACTTCGGGAGCCGCTCATGGCCCACCTTCGTGAGCAGCAGCGCTTGCGTCAGAGCTGCATCATATCTGACATGATAAACTGGTGGACAGGTGACATCGCAAGGGAGCTCGGCATCCCGAGGCTCGCCTATGTTGGCTTTTGTGGCTTCTCATCCCTCATCAGGTACAACCATGAGAGGCAAATTTTCAGTAGTAATTTTTGTACTGGACATATTTTTCCTGCTATAGTTAAGTGCTTTACTTCAACAGTAAGGGGATATTAGTGTAAATTGCTTCTCCACAGAAAAAAGAACATGAACATATAAAAGGCTACACACTAAAGGAAAAACTTAGTAGTACTACTCTATGAAACAAAAGGTGTAATTTGCATTGCATAAGGAACTACAAACAACAATTTTTTAGGCATGTTGCAAACTTGCGGTTGGTTGATGTTTGTCGAAGAAGTGCTCACCTCTATCTATTTTAAACAACTAAAACCATCTCGCGGGCACATCACTTTTCACACCAATGTATTTTTGAACATGTCAAAGATGAAAATGAGCGCGTCACGATCACAGGGTTCCCTACACCACTATAGTTGACGAAGGCTAAATCCCCTGGAGGCCTTTCCATTCCTAGCGCGCACCAAATCCAAGGCATGATCCTTGAAGAAGCGCCAAGGTCCGATGGTGAGGTCATTAACAGCTTTCATGAGCTTGAGGCATTTTACATCGAATCGTTTGAGCAGATGACAGGAAAGAAGGCCTGGACGATCGGGCCAATGTGTCTCTGCCACCGAAACACCAACACACTGGTGAAAGTGCGTTATATCGACTAGAGGGGGGTGAATAGGCGATTTTTATGGAAGTCTTCAAAACGTGGAAGTTATGAAGACAAACGATAGAAATAAACCTATTACCCTGCAGCGGAAGGTAGACTACACTAGGCAAGCCATAGTCGTGTATTCAATAGAGTGAAAGCACAATGACTAATATCAACAATGTAGTAAGGATCAGGTAGGAAGATATTGTGAAGCCACACAGAACACGCAGTCACTCAGTGAAGACAAAAGATAGTGCGAACATACAATGACTTCACAAGGGGTAACAGTAAGTAAAGGGAAGGGAAGATGAAACCAGTGACTCGCTGAAGACAATGATTTGTTGGACCAGTTCCAGTTGCTGTGACAACTGTACGTCTGGTTAGGGCGGCTAGGTATTTAAACCTTAGGACACATAGGCCCGGACACCCAGTCCTGAACACGCAGCTCAGGACACCCAGTCCTCACCGTATTCCCCTTGAGCTAAGGTCACACAGACCTCGCCCAATCACTCTGGTAAGTCTTCAAGGTAGACTCCCAAACCTTCACAGACTTCGGTCACCGGCAATCCACAATGTCTCTTGGATGCTCAGAACGCGACGCCTAACCGGCTGGAGGATGCACAGTCCTCAAGTGTAATAAGTCTTCAGATCACACAGACAAGAAGACTTAAGTGATGCCTAATTATCTTTGGCTCTGGGTGGTTAGGGCTTTATCCTCGCAAGGAATTCTCTCTCAAAGGCTTCGAGGTGGGTTGCTCTCAAACGACAAAAGCCGTACTCTGAATCTGAGCAGCCAGCCGTTTATGGTTGTAGGGGGTGGGCTATTTATAGCCACTTGGCAACCCGACCTGATTTGTCCGAAATGACCCTGGGTCACTAAGGAACTGACACGTGTTCCAACGGTCAGATTTCAAACTCACACGGCAACTTTACTTGGGCTACAAGCAAAGCTGACTTGTCCGACTCTGGACAAGATTCGCTCTCATAGTCTTCACTCGAAGACATAGGTTTTGGTTAGGCATCACTTCAGTCATTCTGACTGGTTCTCTTGGACCCCACTTAACAGTACGGTGGTTCCTATGATTCAACACAAAAGAAAGAGAACTACGAAAGATCTAAGTCTTCGAGCTCCATAGGCTTCATGTGGTGTCTTCTCTTGTCATAGTCTTCAATGTGAATATCTTCATATACCACCTTTGACTTTAATGTCTTCATACATTTTTAGGGGTCATCTTTGGTAGGAAAACCGAATCAATGAGGGACTTCTACCTGTGTTATCCTGCAATTCTCACAAACACATTAGTCCCTCAACTAGGTTTGTCGTCAATACTCCAAAACCAATTAGGGGTGGCACTAGATGCACTTACAATCTCCCCCTTTTTGTGATTGATGACAAACTAGTTGAAGTTTTCAACAGGGAATATAATCTGTGAAATGGTAAAGGATAAGGAATTGTCTTCATAAGTTGCAAGGGCTCCCCCTGAAGATGTGCATATAAGTAATTTGCTTTTGGAATGCAAATGCACATGGCAGGTTGTACTTGTGGAGATCCACTTCAACTTATGATGACAATCCACTATGCATGTGAAAGTATATGAAGATAATGACATGCATAATGGAAAATGGACGTCTGTAGAATGATCTAAGTGCGGAATTTATCGTGGCACGTGCGGAATTTATCATCGCAAAACAAGGTGGCAGATAAGTAGCGGACGACCATCAAGTTTAAGTGTTACAACTCAAAGAACCAAATGTAGCAAAACGAGAGTTGTAAGCACGAAGCAAAATATAAAGCACCCGCCCATATGGACCCGCTTGAAGACTATCAACCTCATATGCTTCTCCCCCTTTTGTCAGTAAGGACCAAAAAGGTTCGAAGACATAGAGCATCTACTCGTTCCCATGAGGAGTAGGTGAAGCAGCAGGGTCGTTGGTGGTGTTTGGCGGTGCTGAAGAGCTTGGAGCAGAGTTGAAGCGTGCTGAAGGAGGTGGCGGTGAAGTAGCATCGTCTTCATCCTCGATCACTCCGGCAGTCACAGTTGCAGCAGAGGAAGAGAACTCAGAGTCTTCAAGGGATGGAGTTCGTCGCAGCACAGCCCTTCGAGGAGGTGTGGAGTCAAACTTGAATCGCTCAGTGAAGCCATCCTCTTGAAGATCATCTTCAGAACACATCAGCGTTAGCCCTTTTCATGTGCGGCGAGAGGTTTCATGGGCAACAAAAGCATTCTTGGTGGCAAGATTGCGAATGCGATTAACATCCACCAAGAGGCTTTGCATCTGACGCTTCAGCCAGTCATGATGCCTATCCTGTTTCTGATGAAGAGCCACAAGAAGCTCTCGGTCGTTGAAAACGTGAGTGCGCTTCTTGGGTCGTGGAGCAGTTGTACTGTCAGTGGCTTTAGTGAGAGCAGGATGTGGTGCACGTGTAGTGCCAGCCAAAGGATACACACGAGTGACTGCTTCAACTCCTTCAATGTTCTGAGAGAAACTCTGATGCTCTGCATTCTGAAGACTTAGAGGTTCCTTCGGAGGCTCAGGATAGATGGCTTTAATAGACATATCCACATCAGGCAGAAAAATCTGATGATTGCGAGCAGATGGCTGATATGAGATAGCGGAGTGAAGTTTGATCAGCCGCATTACCCATGGGGCGTAGAACTTCAAGCCAAACAGATCAGAGCCTGATGCAGCAAGTTGGCGAATGAAGAAGTCCTGTGCATTGAAGCATTTGCCATGAAGAATATAGAAGACCAAAGTCTTCATTGCACCTTCAAGCTTGGCATGTGGAGAGTGTCCTTTGATTGGCCAGAGAGTTCGCCTTATGATGTGATAAATGGTTCTTGGCAGATACTCAAGGTCTTCAACGAAGAACTCCGTGGGATAAGCAGCATCTTGGGGCAATGGCTTCATCATACTGAGCATCTGACTCATATTAGGTTCAGTCTTCTGAAAGATGCTCTCAATAGGTTCACTATGAAGCAAAAGCCATGCTCGTAGAGATCGCCAGGAGTGGGCAAACCAGTGAGCTCAATGATGTCAAAGGCTTTGGCTTCGTGATGAACGTTTCCTGTCATCCACTCCAGGACCCAAGTCTTCGGATCTCTGCTATACCCGCGGATATGAAGTGTGGCATAGAATTGGAGCAGCAACTCTTCATTCCAATGCTCTTGATCAGTGACGAACGGCAGCAATCCAACTTCTTTGAAGCAGTCCAGAGCTTCTTCCAGACAGGGTAGACCAGTTATAGCTTCAATGTCAATACGCTTGTGGGGGAAGATGCGACCTTGATTGTATAGAATGCAGGAGTAATAGCTTCGCTGCGGATAGCTCCAGAACCTATCAGATGATATCCTTTCCCTTGAGTAGGGGTTCCTGGAGCTATTGAAGAATGTGTTATCTGCTCTGAAGCCATTGATATTGAAGGAGTCAGGTGCTGATGCAGGACCTGGGAACCTTGGCAATCTTGGGATTGGCTTCTGTACCTGAGGCCTGTGCTCAACATGATAGTCGAACTGGGGACCGGCAGCAGACTCAGGAACAGAAGTGGCGGGATCAGTGGCTTCGCTGACTTCTGATGCTTTTGTTGGGGAGGGCTCCACATTAGCTTCAGCCATGACAGCGTCAGTGGCTTCATTGGTGGTGGTGGCAGCCGCAAGATTTTCAATCACGTTCTCCTCGTGAACTGCTTCTGGGTGGGACAGGGGAGTGTCAACTTGTGGGGCTTCTTCTTCATCAGCTGATGCAGCCGGAATGTCTTCAGCAGCTTTAGCTTCAGACTCAGAGACTGGAGGCCTTGATCCTTTGCGAAGCCTGCGTAACGCTGGTGATGCTTGTGGAGTTGGAGTTGGCTGGGCCTCAAAGTCATCTTCCTCTTGTGGGCGATCAGCCCATGAAGCATCCTGAGCGATTGGCGTCAGAGAACGACCAATGCTGATGAGTTCGCTGTTCTTGAGCTGAGGAAGGACTGCACCAGCTTCTACATGGTCATGGTGACCAATGTCTTCAGCAGCGATGGGATCAGCTGCTGGAAAGTCTTCAGCTTCATGAGCCTCTGTGAAAGCAGGCTCATGGATAGTTAGTTGGCGTTCAGCGTCAGGACGAACCATAGAAATGGGTTCAACAATCAAAGGCTCTGTGGGAGCAGCCCGATCTTTTTTGGTCTTCCTCTTCTTCTTGGAGGGGGCAGTAGGAGAGGCTTCAGAATGTTTCCTCTTCCTGGCTTCAGCCTCAGCACTCCTCGTCTTCTTGAGCTCTGAAGCGGTTGACCGGCTTTTTGGCTTCGAGCCAGTCATTCTAGTTGGGAAGACAATGGAATCTGCTTCCTGCCTTGGTGCGTCAGGTTCAGCCGTAGCGGGCTTCTTCTGCTTCTTGGCCGCCATCCTGGGGTCGATGCCAGGATGCCCGAGGGCCTTGCGCTTCTCAGCCTCATTGTAGGCTTGCACACATCTGTCAGCCAGAACCTTCATGCGCTCACGCGAACCCTGAGCTTCTGCACGTTTCTTTAGAAAGGCTTCCTTGAGCTCGTGCATCATAATCTTGAAGTTCTTCACTTCTGGCACGCTGAGCTTGGCCATATGCCTCTTGAACTGAGCCTTTTCATAGTCAATCTTTTGCTTCAGTTCAACAATGAGCTGGGCGACAGCTAGCTCTGAAGCAATGGCGCCTTGGAAGGCGACACTGAGGCCAATGGGTAGTTGCAGATCTTTAAAGCTGATGTTTGGCGTGTCAAACCACTTGTCAATGAAGTTGTGGATGATGGTTACATCAAAGAGAGGCAGATCATTGAAAATTTCTGCTTCTTCTTTGCTCTTGATGAGTTGCTCAAGAGCGTCATCTGCAAGATCTTCATCACTTGACAGATCAATGGCATCATTGCGCAGAATGGCAGCAGCTGTTAGCTCTTGGCCGGTGTATGGCAGAGGCATCTTGACCTTCAGGGGCTTGGAGATGCGTGATAAATCTTCAGACTGCACACTGTCTTCAGGAGGTGCAGTTGCCAGTGGCTTCGCCCGTGAGATTTTTGGTGAAGGGGCAGGCTTTGAAGCTTTAGGCTTCTTCAACTTCTTTGTCTTCGGCGCTGCAGGTGCTTCATCTGATTCAGCGTCAGCTGCAGGCTCATTCACTACAGTCCCTTGAACCAAGATATGGGTGATGAGGCCTTCAAGGTTGTAGAAAGGACCGATGACATTGGGTTCTGCATCACGTGTGCCATCTGCCCTTGGAGCTGAGGGACCAGGGTTGAAGTCTAGTCCCAATATCTTCTTGTTTTGCTTCGCTGAGTTCTGGGCAAACTGGAAGTTGCGCTTGAACAGAGTGTCGTCACGACACCATAGAAGTGACGATGGGTGTGCATCAACAGGCCGTGGCCCACGGACCATGCAGGGATAGAAGCCTTATTCAATGGCTTCATCTCTGGACCTGGGTAGAAGATTCTTGTATAGGATGTCTCCCCACGGTCTCTTGATGGCATTTTTCTCAGCATATTCCTGGGTTACAAATCGGTATTTGAACCATTGTTCTGCCCAATATCTTCGAATCCATTGGATTCGGGTCTTGCGCTGATTGTAATCCTCTTTAGGATCTGTCTTGTACAGTTCTGAGAGGTCATCTGGCAGATCTCTAGATGTTTCTCCATGACACTTTCTGCCACCCTTTCTTGCTGATTTCTCTAAAGCCATGAACTTTAAACTGAAAGGCTTCAACACATTCAAAGGCTTCAAAGGTTTTCGCTTGCTGGACAAACAGGAACTGGCTTCGGGAGAATTTATGTGATGCTGTAAGAATTTTGCAAATGAATGCAGACTATGAGAACCAAAGGATTCTCCCACGGACATGTACCTGTGACAGCATTAAGGTGCGAGGAAAGGGGAAGAGGTCATATGCATTCTCAGAAGATTTTGAAGATAAATCAGTTTAGAAGACATTGACCTCATCGTGCGAAGACATTCACTCATAGATAAGGAGTTGGTTCCAGATTTGTACGAATCCACAGATCAGTACAAGTGAGGAATCTAACTACTTTGTGAAGCATAAGTGAATATACTAGGCATGTTATGAGATGCAGTATGAGAGAGATCTAACTTGTGTGAATAGAAACTGTTTGTGGTAGAAAGTGACAAAGCCATAGGATCAACGGTGCCGTAAAAAGGAAGTTTTATTTACCACACTAAGAACTGCTAGATGGAGTGGAAGATGAGGCCGAGCAGTTTGATCTTCCGTGCCCTAACTTGGCGACGGAGGACACCTACGGTGACGGCGGAGAGGATGATGTCCGCGGTCGGCGTGAAGACGGCGTCGGAGAGGTTGCGGCAGCGAAGCGCTTCGTCGCCGGTGTCATCGAGGGCTAGCGGTGGCGCTAGGGTTCGTGCGAGAGTGGAAGAAGAGATAATGACCGCTGTGAAGTGTGTATTTATAGGTATAGGGGCGGCACTGCGTTATTACACAGGTGCCCCTGGTGATTCGCATCTGAGGAACACGTGGCCATTATGCGGAATTTTGGGGTTTGTTCCACGTCCCACGCACGCTTGGATTGTCGGGTGGTCGTTCCTACTTCTCCGGGTTTCATGTGGAGGAATGAGCATTGAAAACAGACTTAAAGGTTATCTCTGTATCTTCTGCTGACAAGGACGCAGAGAAGACATTTGACAGTTTCAATAGAATGCATATGATTTGGAGAGATAGAATTTGAGATAGAAAGCATAGAGAGGTTAGGGTCCGATCACATTCACTTAGTTCAAAAGATTCAACAAGAAGACATAGCTATAAGTGAATGATGTAGAGGACAGAACACTAGTATATATATAATCAACATAGTGAAGATAATCATGAAGACATGTTGAGATTGAAGCCAAACCAAATGTGAAGACATAGCAAGGTAACGCCATGAGTGAAACACTTCAAAATAGAATATTTGGTGGTGGCGTTACCCACCGTATAGGAAGTATTAGACCTAGACACGGTGCACAATTATCGTGGCGCTCCGAAGTCAAATTCCACATTAATGTATTCACACTTAGAATGTATGTCTTCATTTATTGAAGATATACTTTACTTCGTGTGTTGCACATCTAAGTCATCAATATGCATAAGGGTTAGGATGTGTGCCTGATCACAGGACATTTGAGGATTCCAGGATATTTAGCTCACATCGTAACTTGCAAAATCTCTTCTCATCCAAGGGCTTGGTGAAGATATCTACCAATTGCTCTTCAGTGTTGACGTGTATGATATCAATATCTTCCTTCACAATATGATCTCTGAGAAAGTGATGACGAATTTCAATGTGCTTTGTCTTCGAGTGCTGAACTGGGTTGTTGGCAATCTTGATGGCGCTTTCGTTGTCGCAGTAGAGTGGCACTTGCTTCAGATGAATGCCATAGTCTTTGAGCGTTTGCTTCATCCACAGAAGCTGAGCGCAGCAAGATCCAGCAGCAATGTATTCAGATTCAACAGTGGAGAGAGATACACAGTTCTGCTTCTTTGAAGACCAACATACAAGTGATCGTCCCAGAAAGTGACATGTGCGTGATGTAGACTTGCGATCAACTTTGTCACCAGCATAATCAGCATCCGAGAATCCAACCAGATCAAACTCTGAGCCCTTTGGATACCATAATCCTAGAGTTGGGGTGTGAGCCAAATATCGAAGAATTCGCTTCACAGCTAAGTGATGCGACTCCTTTGGTGCCGCTTGAAATCAAGCACACATGCAAACACTAAGCATAATATCTGGCCTAGATGCACATAGATAAAGTAAAGAACCAATCATGGAGCGATATACCTTTTGATCGAACTCTTTACCATTGTCGTTAGGACCCAGATGATGCTTGGCTGGCATTGGCATCATGAAGCCTTTGCAGTCTTGCATACCGAACTTCTTCAGGCAATCTTTGAGATACTTCTCTTGAGATATGAAGATGTCGTTGCGTTGCTGTCGTATTTAAAGACCGAGAAAGAACTTCAGCTCTCCCATCATAGACATTTGATATTGCTCTTGCATCATATATCCAAACTCTTCACTGTACTTCTGATTGGTGCAGCCGAAGATAATGTCATCCACATATATTTGGCACACAAACAGTTCACCATCATATGTCTTCGTGAAGAGAGTGGGGTCGAGGGAACCAGGTATGAAGCCTTTTCTCTTCAGGAAGTATTTGAGTGTGTCATTCCAGGCCCGAGGGGCTTGTCTGAGGCCATACAGTGCCTTCTTGAGCTTGTACACCATGTCAGGATATTTTGGATTTTCAAAGCCAGGCGGTTGTGCAACACACACTTCTTCTTCAATCTTGCCATTGAGAAAAGCACTCTTCACATCCATTTGATATAGAAGTATGTTATGATGATTTGCATAGGCCAGCAGTATGCGTATGGCTTCAAGTCTAGCCACAGGAGCAAATGTTTCATCGAAGTCAATGCCTTCCACTTGAGTATATCCTTGAGCAACGAGACGAGCTTTGTTTCTGACAACTTGACCATGCTCATCTTGCTTGTTGCGGTATATCCATTTGGTGCCTATTATATTGTGCTTCCGTGGATCAGGACGCTTAACCAGTTCCCATACATTATTCAGCTCAAACTGTTGAAGCTCTTCTTGCATAGCTTGAATCCATTCAGGTTCCATGAAGGCTTCTTCAACTTTCTTGGGTTCTATTATTGAGACGAATGCGAAGTGCCCACAGAAATTTGCTAGCTGAGTTGCCCTTGAATGAGTGAGTGGACCGGGTGCATTGATGCTATAAATTATTCTTTCAATCTGCACTTCATTGGCAACGCGAGGATGTACAAGGCAAAGATTTTGCTCTTGCTAATCATTGTCGTTGTTAGAAGGAATGTCTTCAGGCTGAGCATTGTCTTCATGTTGATCAGGTGCTAAGATGATAAGTTCTTCTTCAGGATGAGCTTCAGAAGGTATAATTTCTCCAGTTCCCATTAGCTTGATTGATTCATTGGATGGAACTTCATCTAGCACATTTGGCAGTTGCTCTCTTTGTGAACCGTTGGTCTCATCGAACCGCACATCCACTGTTTCAACCACTTTGTAATGAGAGAGATTGAAGACTCTGTAGGAGTGCGAATCCTTTCCATATCCAAGCATAAAACCCTCATGTGCTTTTGGTGCAAACTTTGAGGTGTGATGTGGGTCCTTGATCCAGCACTTGGCGCCAAATACTCTGAAGTAACTGACATTTGGCTTCTTGCAGGTAAGGAGCTCATAAGATGTCTTGTTCAGAAGCTTGTGAAGATAAACACGATTGATTGTATGGCATGCAGTATCAATGGCTTCAGGCCAGATTTTTCTTGGAGTCTTGTATTCATCTAGCATCGTTCTGGCCATCTCAATGAGTGTTCTGTTCTTGCGTTCGACGACCCCATTCTGCTGTGGCATGTACGGGGCTGAGAATTCATGTGTGATGCCCAAGGTATCAAGATATGTATCAAGGCCAGTGTTCTTGAATTCAGTGCCATTGTCACTTCTGATATGCTTTATCTTGGCGCCATAGTTGTTCATTGCTCGATTGGCGAAACGTCTGAAGACATCCTGCACTTCAGTCTTGTAAAGGATTATGTGCACCCAAGTATATCTAGAATAATCATCAACAATGACAAAGCCATAGAGACAAGCAGTAGTAGTAAGAGTTGAGTAATGAGTGGGACCGAAAATATCCATGTGAAGCAGTTCAAAGGGTCGAGTAGTGGTCATGATTGTCTTCGAGGGATGTTTGGCCCTCGTCATCTTTCCTGCCTCACAGGCACCGCATAAGTGATCTTTCTTGAACTTGACGCCCTCGATGCCTATGGCATGCTTCTTCTTTGCCAGGGTGTGGAGGTTCCTCATGCCAGCATGCCCAAGCCTCCGATGCCAGAGCCAACATTCTGAAGCTTTTGCTAGAAGACATACGGCAAGCTGTGGTCCTGCTGAGAAATCTACCACGTACAAGTCATCTTTTCGATACCCTTCAAATACTAGAGACTTGTCAGATTCCATTAGAACAAGGCAATGATATTTTCCAAATATTACGATCATGTTTAAATCGCAAAGCATTGAGACAGACATTAAGTTGAAGCCAAGGGATTCAACAAGCATGACTTTATCCATGTGTTGATCCCTTGAAATTGCAACTCTACCTAGGCCCAATACCTTACTTTTACCAGTGTCAGCAAATGTGATGTGGCTTTGGTCGGATGGACGTAAGGTTGAGTCCATAAGAAGGCTTCTTTTGCCAGTCATGTGATTTGTACACCCACTATCAATAATCCATTCTGAAGACGCTGGTGTCGTACCCTACAGTGCAGTTAGGGGGATAGGCTTCACCAAGAGCATTGTGAAGCAAAAACATTTAACGAACCAGTGGGTGATGAAAGCTTAGATCCAGATTAGGACTAATAGGGAGAGTAGCAAGCGATTCAGGAACGAAGTACATAGTAAGACCATTCAGGCATTTGATCTTGCGCCCTACAAGATGTTTAAGGTCCCCAGCAATAGCGTCAGACGATTTTGGTTTTCTGCTGGAGACCTTTCCCTGCAAAAGAGAGTTAAGCTTTCTTAGCCACCCACATCTTCAAGGGTGGCTTAGAAGCAATAAGTCTAAGTGCAGCATCTGAGAACTTTGGCATTGGAGCCCTAGCAAACAGTCTTGCAGGCGGACAATAGTACTCATAAGAATAAGCAGAATAGTTCTTGGTCTTATGAACATGGCGGTTTGATGAACCGCTCTCATATTCATATGCCTGAGTATGGTTTCCCTGCAAAACATTTGCGTTAGTGCGACTCAGGTGAGTCCTCTGTCTGTATGAAGCCTTTGGACCGTATGAAGCCTTTGGTCTGAGGTTTGTCTTCTTCATGTGAGGTGTCATGATGACATTCACAGGAAGATTCTCCAGACACCTTTTCAGAACCTAGATTTTCTTCATAGGCGGTCCATTCCTGCAGTTAGTACCAGTGTACCTGGCAAACAATTCGCCATTCTGATTCTTAAACAGTTTATAGTTTGCATCAAGGGATTCATCAATGATAATGGGGTTAGCACAAGTGAAGCCAGATAGATTGGATGGATCTGCTGAAGGTTCCTTTGCAGCAACCCACATGGTTTCGGGGTACTTCTCAGGTTTCCAGTAAGAGCCGTCAGCATTCATTTTCCTTACAAACCCAACACCCTCTTTCCTCGGGTTTCAGTTCAGAATCTGCTTTTTGAGGACATCACATAGTGTCTGATGCCCTTTAAGACTTTTGTACATCCCTGTTTCAAGCAATGTCTTCAACCTAGCATTCTCATCAACAATAGCGGTGGTATCCTCAGCAGAGGGGTTAGTTACCACATCAACAGTTGAAGATATTGCAACAACAGTAGCAGTAGAACATTCAGCAACAGAAGTAGCATTATCACGCTCAATGCATTTAAGACATGGTGGTTCAAATCCTTCCTGAGCGGAACTGATCTGTTTGGCGCGAAGTGACTTGCTTTCCTTTTGAAGATCTTCATGAGCCGCTCTCAATTTCTCAAGAACTTGCTTCCTTTGAAGATAATCATAGGAAAGCTTTTCATGAGTTGTTGAGAGAGTTTCATGACGACTTTCAAGTTCCTGATACTTAACGTGAAGATTTTTTATGTCTTCAATTAAGGATTCAGATCGAGTCATTTCAGCACCTAATAGATCATCGCTTCTGTCTAACAGTTTTTGAATATGTTCCATAGCTTTCTGTTGTTCAGTTGCAATTTTAGCAAGTGTTTTGTAGCTGGGTTTTGAACCACAATCAGAGTCATCGTCACTAGATGTTTGATAGTGAGTAGTGCGTGGGTTTACCTTGGCACCGCGTGCCATGAAGCAGTAGGTAGAAGCGGAGTAGTCCTTGTCATTTGCATCGGTGTCGGTGATGAAGTCATTGTCTTCAGTGTTGAAGATGAACTTGGCAACGTAAGCTGTAGCCAGACTTGCGACGCCTGAATCGGACTCCTCCTCAGACTCCACCTCCGCCTCCTCAGAAGCGGACTCCTCCTCTGAATCCATTTCCTTGCCAACAAACGCACGTGCCTTGCCAGATGAGCTCTTCTTGTGTGATGAAGACTTTGAGGGAGACTTGGAAGAAGACTTTGAGTATTTCTTCTTCTTCTTGTCGTCAGAGTCATATTCCTTGCTCTTCTTCTTCTTTTTGTCCTCATTGTCCCACTGTGGACACTCAGAGATGAAGTGGCCAGGTTTCTTGCACTTGTGATATGTTTTCTTCTTGTAGTCGTGAGCAGAAGCTTCATCATTCCTTGAGCTTGATCGGGAAGACTTTCTGAAACCTTTCTTCTTGATGAATTTTTGGAACTTCTTCACAAGCATAGCAAGTTCCCTTCCAATGTCTTCAGGATCATCCGAACTGCTGTCAGATTCTTCTTCAGATGAGGAGACAACTTTTGCCTTCAAGGCACGAGTTCGCCCATAGTTTGGACCGTAGATATCTCTTTTCTCAGAAAGCTGAAACTCATGTGTGTTGAGCCTCTCAAGTATGTCAGACGGATCGAGTGTCTTGAAATCAGGACGTTCTTGAATCATCAGGGCTAGGGTGTCAAATTAAACTATCAAGTGATCTCAGTAGTGTCTTGACAACTTCATGTTTGGTGATCTCAGTAGCGCTGAGGGCTTGAAGCTCATTTGTGATGTCAGTGAGTCGGTCAAATGTGAGCTGGACATTCTCATTGTCATTTCGCTTGAAGCGGTTGAAGAGGTTGCAAAGGACACTGATTCTCTGATCTCTCTGGGTTGAGACGCCTTCATTGACCTTGGAGAGCCAGTCCCAGACCAGTTTAGATGTTTTCAAAGCACTCACACGGCCATACTGTCCTTTGGTCAGATGACCACATATGATATTCTTGGCAGTAGAGTCCAGTTGAACGAACTTCTTGACATCAGCAGCAGTGACACCTTCTCCAGCCTTGGGAACGCCGTTCTCGACAACATACCATAGGTCGACGTCAATGGCTTCAAGATGGCATCTTATTCTTCCAGTAGGGATATTCGGTTCCATCGAAGACGGGGCATGCAGCGGAGACTTTAATTATCCCTGCAGTCGACATAGCTAAAACTCCAAGTGGTTAAACCGAATCACACAGAACAAGGGAGCACCTTGCTCTGATACCAATTGAAAGTGCGTTATATCGACTAGAGGGGGGTGAATAGACGATTTTTATGAAAGTCTTCAAAACGTGGAAGTTATGAAGACAAACGATAGAAATAAACCTATTACCCTGCAGTAGAAGGTAGACTACACTAGGCAAGCCATAGTCGAGTATTCAATAGAGTGAAAGCACAATGACTAATAGCAGCAATGTAGTAAGGATCAGGTAGGAAGATATTGTGAAGCCACACAGAACACGCAGTCACTCAGTGAAGACAAAAGATAGTGCAAACATACAATGACTTCACAAGGAGTAACAGTAAGTAAAGGGAAGGGAAGATGAAACCAGTGACTCGCTGAAGACAATGATTTGTTGGACCAGTTCCAGTTGCTGTGACAACTGTACATCTGGTTAGGGCGGCTAGGTATTTAAACCTTAGGACACACAGTCCCGGACACCCAGTCCTGAACATGCAGCTCAGGACTGTTGGGTTTCGTAGTAATTTCAAAAAATTTCCTACGCACACGCAAGATCATGTGATGCATAGCAACTAGAGGGGAGAGTGTTGTCCACGTACCCACGCAGACCGACTGCGGAAGCGTTGACACAACGTAGAGGAAGTAGTCGTACGTCTTCACGATCCAACCGATCAAGCACCGAAACTATGGCACCTCCGAGTTCGAGCACACGTTCAGCTCGATGACGATCCCCGGACTCCGATCCAGCAAAGTGTCGGGGAAGAGTTCCGTCAGCACGACGGCGTGGTGACGATCTTGATGTACTACAGCAGCAGGGCTTCGCCTAAACTCCGCTACAGTATTATCGAGGACTATGGTGGCTGGGACGCCGCACACGGCTAAGGAATAGATCACGTGGATCAACTTGTGTGTTCTAGGGTGCCTCTGCCTCAGTATATAAAGGAATAGAGGGGGGAGGCTGGCCGGCCAAGGTGTGGCGCGCCAGGAGAGTCCTACTCCCTCTGGGAGTAGGATTCCCCCCCCCCCCAATCCTAGTTGGAATAGGATTCGCGGAGGGGGAAAAGAGAGAGAGGGGGCCGGCCACCTCTCCTAGTCCTAATAGGACTAGGGGAAGGGGGACGCACGC